ACAATGAAAGAGGTAAGTGAAAAGGAAGACTGTAAAGTCGAATGTGTGACATTATGGCAATTTTATTTAAAATGCCTAGAAAAAAAGACTGAACATATGTGGCAATATTTATAATAGGCGAGTTTTATTTCCTTCCTTCACCTTTCTAAATTTTCAAAATTCTCTCCATTATCATGTTTTCTTTTCAATAGGGAAAATCTTTTCCTATGTTAAACCTCCTCAAATGTCAAATGTCTTGGACACTTCCATCTAGTTGAAGTAATTTATCTCCTCTCCTGTCCCCTTGTCAGACTTGTCTTTGATATCTTAACTTGTGCTAAAAGTATGAAAACCAACAAAATGCAAACAATCCAAAGTAGACAAAAGGAGAAGAAGAAAAAGAAAGAACCTCAAGGAAAAAACAATTTAGTTAGTACTGACATCAACAAAAATGTATCTTGGTTATTGGCCTTCCAATCATTCTTACAGTTGAATGTTGTAACCACCTATCTGGCTATTCAGGATGGGTGACCTCATGGACTGGTCTGACAGGGAGCTCTGGTCCTAATCGCCTACCTGTGACCTCCTGTTTCTTCTCATGTGGTTCAGGCATGAGCTGAACATTGTTCCCAACTTCACTCTTCTTGTTCAGAGTATTCCATATATTCCTCCTTGAATTAGATCCCCTCCCACCCAAATAATGCCTTTCAAAAAAGTTAATAAAGTTATTCTTTTCTGTCATTTAGTTATTAAAATTACTGTTTTTAAAAATTACTTAACAAACTAAGCTCTCTTCATAACAGGGTTTATTTGGGGCATAAATTCAATCAAAGTACATAAACACAATCAAAGTACAAATAAACTTTTAGAACACAACCCATTTTATCCAGGAGAGTACTTGCACAATAAAAAATTCTCTCTGTGCAGCATAATGTATACCAATTGGCAGTGGTATTTGTCAGTAAGAATTTCTTGCTCATTTCTGTAAAGGAATGAGATAGTACTTTAGCATGTGAATCTACTTCACTTCAAGTATAAATAATTCGGAATTTCTTGTCAAGACCTTATAATTCTTTACCTACAGAGTAGACACAAAGGAAATGATTAAGTAAACATTTCTAGGTGTAATTATGAATGGTTTCACAATCAGAAATATGACTATCCAAATTTTTATTCCATAAAAATCCATTATATGGAAGAAAATAATTAAACTGTATGACTACAGCAAAATGCAAGGAACATATAAAATTATAATTATCACCAAGAATACTGATCAGATCAGAAAAGACTAGAATCTTAATATTTCAACTACACTGACAACTTTAGTAGCTATTTTCTTGACTATCCTTTCATTTTGAAAAATAAAGTATGAATTAACAAAACCACTCGAGAAATCGGGAAATGGCGATCCTCAGTGATTTGGTAAGGCAAGCACTAAGTGACAGAGTGGAACCAGAAACTCGTTTGCCTAACTGCCAGTGTAGTACCTCTTATTCTAGCATGTACTGTCGGTGCTGCCAGAAGGCAGAACATGTCACTGCCTTTCCTATTTTAGAAATAAGTTTCTTTGGAGGTCTGATGGCAAAAGACACCTGTTATTTTTTAAATGTTAGCAGCTAATGATTTAATGACAATTTTTTTTACATGTTCTTTCTCCATTCAAGTTGTCTTCTACTCGTTAAATAATCACTTTTTAAATTAGGTAAGAGCAATCAGAAATTAGGAGGTGGATTTAATCTTGTCTATCATCTCACTGGGAAAAGTAAGACCCAAAGAGATTTGTCCAGGGTCTTCTGGTCCAGGGTTATTTACAGCACATGACACTGCCTCGGCCATAACTATTCGAAAGAACTGGCATAATTGAAAGGATGTTCCTGGAACCATCAGTCTCGATCAGTGTATCTGTCTGTGTGGGGTATTTGGGTGCCGTTTTACTTCTCTAATTTTCTTATCCATTTATTCACTTCTTTGATTTTGTTGCCTGATGTTTTGGGAATGGAGACAGTCAGTAAAAGACATGTAAAATGGCCAGGGGCGAGTGCAACTTCAATATTTTAGGGGGAATGAGTAAAGCAAGTCTAGTTGGAATTTAGAAGTTGCAGTTTTCCATGGAGAGAAGACCAAGAAAGGGATATTGGAGGGATGGCTGAGGAAGATTGATAACCTCCTACTGCCAGGGCCTCTGCTGGGCACTTTTATGGGTTCATCTCATTCCTCTTAACAACCCTTTCGGTAGGGGCTGTTAACCTCATTTTATTACTCTTGAGGCTCAGAGTACTGTTATTTACCCAACAGATACACACTGATAACAGGTCGAGCCCGTCCAATGCGGGGGTTTGTCTGGCTCTGCACCTGTGCACTTCACTGCCACCGTAGAGTTTGTGTGAGGTGAGCCAATGAAGACAATGACTGCAATGCAATGCTAACAACAGTAAGAATGGTAGCCCAGTGCTTTACACCGCGATCACTTTGGACAGGATTAAGTGAGCACGTGAATCGGGCCGATGTGGTGTCTTTGTGCTCTTTGTTAGTGAAATAGGCTATGTCTTAAGATTTCCTTTGGCTTACTTTGTTTTCTGAAAAGGAATGGGAAGGCTCAATTAGTTTTGCTGCGTTCATCAGATTGTATGTTCTACATGTGGGTGGATGGGTTGGTGTGTGACTGTGTGAGGTCAAACTGGATATATTCAGAAGAATGCATCCAATGCCTTTGGGTTAGATGCTGAATTTTGTAATTAGTGATCACTGTTCCTATTTACTGAATGGGCGTTTTAATCCCTACAGAGTTCTTTTTTCCTTTTGAGGCTGAATATCATATGCACCCTTATTTCTGTAGGGCGGGGGTCCATGAAAGAAATATGTCAACCTTCCCATGAAAAAGCAAGTCTGTATTCAGTGGAAAATCAATAACCACCCATTTTCATCCCCAAAATGAATCTCTGATGACTAATTTTGTATTAGACCGAAACTCCAGTTTTAGCTTTGGGCTCAGTTCTCATATTTGGAAGGTGATGCCCAGTGGTGTGGTACTGTGTAACAGAAAGGTGGTGTCAATTTATAAAAATGATCCCTATCTTCTAATGAATTAATGCTCATTTGCAATTATCAGTTTGATACTAACTTAGGTAAAGACGTGTTCCAGCTCCAACATTGGATTCTCTGTCTTTAAAAATGTCATTCTAATGCGAAACTGTTACTACAAAAGGGTTTATTTATTTTACCATTCAGTCTAAAAATAAAACCTCTCACCCAAATTTTACGCCTTACTAGCCACATTTTTATCTGCACAATTTTAAACTAATTTGAAAGAATCCAGGTCTAGGTTCTGTGATGTCGGACAAGAGTTGGGACTGGGACAGTTAGAAGGGGATCATGTAAAAACCCATTTCCCTGCTGGGAGACACCTCAAGAGGCTCACAGGGGAGATGCCGGAAGAGCCTCTCGCAGCTGAGCAGTGCCCGCCCCCGCGGTCGCAGGTCCAGAGGGCGGCGGCAGGCCCGCGAAGAGTTAACCCGGGACGC